GTTTCTTTCCTTTGCTGTACGCGTAAAGAATGACTTAGTAAAACGCAAGCTTATGTCAACGACAAAAGGGTGAGCCGTTGCGTGCGTGTAGTCGTGGGAAGGTGGAAAAATTTATCCCTCCGATAAATGAACTAGTGTAGTTCCTATACAATGCTTGATTGCACTGTATCCACAGCCAGGCTCAACAACGTAGGAATATGATGGATAAAATATTTGATAACTCCGTGACACAACTGACATGGTTTGGCAAGGTATTGGCTACGGCGCCAGAGATCGTAGGTTCTATTCCCAAACGGACTTCTCAAATAAATAATTATTTTGGACCTTCGGGTATTTTGTTTATTGGGTGTATGTAAAACGTCCTAGTAATAAATAATATTATTATCCTGCAATAACGGCAATGTATAAAGAAAGAATATATATATAATAAAGTAAAGTAACAGCCGGTCGGCGGACTTCACCTATTATTAATTTTTTTTATTATTTCGAAAATATGCAGGATTCCTCACCGATGAGCAACGTAATAAGTCAGCTCTGAACTCTTTAAAAGCGAGCGTCCGAACAATGCGCTATCACGGCTACATATTTACATCTATCAATTTTGACGTTCATCAACTGTAAGTTTTAACGGAACCCTTGGCGTGGGAATCTGACTCGCACTTGACAGGATATTTTTTTCGAACACGTTACGCGTTCATACTCGTTGAACATGAGAGTTATTCAATTCCAATATAATAATTGGTGCATTGGTGCAAAAATGTCTTGCACGTGTTTTCAAGAAACGTGTTTTAAGTTGTATGTAAAATACACATAACCTTGCTTTTTTTTGGCGGTTCACCTGATGTTAAGTGATAACCGCCGCCCGTTGTCATTTACAACACCCATAAGGTTGGTTACAGATTACAGATGCGTTGCCGCCTTTTAATAAAGTGGGTTCCGATTACTCATTCTCCAGACGAAACCCAGAAGTATAACTTCTTAACTTCACGCCGGTCTCAATTGGTAATTCCTCGGGCGTATCTGCCCGTTCTTACAACAGCGAAGACTGTTGCGTGGCCCAACACAGTTAAAAGTTGTAAGAAAATTATGGAACTTACACATTTTTTCGAGGCCAAGCCTCGAAAAAATGTGTAAGTTCCAATAAAAATGTAAAATTTGCAATAAAAAATGTTGACTATAATGATTTAGATAAAACTGACCCTATTTTGGAACGTATAACACAAAATATGCAATATTATATAAAAATAGGTTGGGAGCTTTCGGAGACCTCGCGTCGGAGGTCCCGAGTGTCCGTAGCGGAGCGAAAGCCGAGGGTGTGAAGCGACACTCAGGGGCGAAATAGTTGGTAGAGTGTTCTGACGAAGCGCGTGGAAGAGTCAAATTTAATGATGAAGTAATATAAGTCTTGAATATTTATTATATTAAAATTTGTAGAAAAAGTACGAAAAGATTTATTTTTATGTCAAAAGTTGTCAAACGAGCAGACGATTCACCTGATGTTAAGTGAATACCGCCGCCCATGTACATCTGTTACAACCGAGGGTTACAGATGCGTTGACAACCTTTTGAAAACTGGGCTCCGGCTACCTCACTCACCAGACGAAACGCGAAAGTATTTGTCATACTTCGTCACGCCGGTCTTCTGTGAGGTCGTGGTACTTACCCGGTTAAATCTTAAGTGCAGAGATAAGCGCTATTCAATTTATAGTACCTGGAAGACCGAGCTTTGCTCGGTTTGTTTTTTTTTTTTTTGGTATATCGTGTATTTTCGAAATTACATTTAGATACAAATTACTGAGTAATGAAATATGCATAATATTTTTCGATCTTACCGACGTAATAATAAGAAAATATGAATTGGTGTTTTTCACAAAAGAAAGAACTTTAAAAAAAGGGGAAAAAAGAACAAAATCATCTGGATCGACATAAAATAAAAAAATAAAGAAAGGAATGATCTGGTATAGAAAAAAAAGTAAAAAAATAGGTGTGTAAATGATCGTGATACGAACCGCGGCTGTCTGTTTTGGGGCCGCCCGATTACCGACCGAGCTATTATAACTAGATCGCTATAGCTAGATCGATTTTTCGCCCCCGAATCTACGCACATACTAAATTTCATGAAAATGGATGCCGTTTCCGAGATTCCGATTATGCTCATTTAAAGGTATTAGATTTATTATATATTTCTTTTACACAAAGAAAATTTTAAAATAAAGGTGAATATTTCTATATAAGAAGAAAAGTACTTCGTAATTTTAATAAATAAATTAAAGAATAAAGAAAATACACTTATAATCTAGATCAGACTAGGCTCCTTTATATAAAAATGTGCAATCACGAAAAAACCCGATCAATGTGAGTTAAATAAAGTCGAACTTAATTTATTTTATTTTTATTTATTTAATTTGCAATTACCTTAAGCAAGGATTACAAAGGGCGAACTTAATGCCTTGTGGCATTCTCTCCAAGTCAACCCGGGGCGTGGTGAGAAATCGTGGTAGGTGCAATAATTATATTAATTATTTATATGTATTGAAAATATACAATATATACACATACATACATAAAAAAATACATATACATACACATACACATATATATATATATATATATATATATATATATTATATCAGTATTAAAAATATTTTATAAAATTTATAATCGATTTCCGAAATCGATATTAGCATATTGGCTATATTGTTATTTACGTACCTAATCGTATATTAAATTTAAAAAGAAAAGCATTTCGCGCTTTATTTCCCCGCTATTTTCAATTTCCTATTTAATATTCGTATTTGCAATGGTGGATTATATGTGCGTGTCTATTAACACTATTGAATCGTGTACATATTGTTATTTCGATTTTATTTCTTTTTCTATAACTTTATTAGAATCGCAATCAGATGGCTAATTACTTTTAAATTTTTTGTGTCGTCATGGAGTTCTTGTATAAAGCTTTAAATGTTTTAAGTGTGGACAGGACTGTGTTTTTGATTTACAAAGGAAAGTTTTTAGATGTTACAATTTTAAACCAAACACGAAGAAACGTCAGTGTAACAGTAATTTCACTATTTTTAAAAACTCTTTTTATTAATAAAGTGCGGAGTTTTCTTAACCGAATAATTTTTTTTTAGCTGGAATATCACCCGGCGCTCATGGAAAATTTTATCCTTTAACAAGACAAAGGTCATATTTGACGACCAGCAGCCCTTCATGGTAAAATCCACGATATTGTTTAATAACATAAATTGGAAAAATTATTAAATGAATCCAAAAATTTTTTTGCTTGGAAAGTCGAACACCAAGCAAAAAAATGACGACGACACGATAGCCAATAACACCCGCACTAATGAGTTAAGTCGACGAAGCTTAATGAAGAAATTTAACGATATTTATAAACTTATTTGAATGATTGGTTAATATTAACTAACTTAATGAAATTTTTAACGACCAATAAGACTGTTGCGGACAAATTTCATTCATTCACAAATTCAATATGACCCTCTGTCCCTCTTCGCTTAACGACGTCAGATATTTTCAACTAAGACTATCTGGTATCAGGGCTAGAGTCTCAGAACCCAAGTCGTTACTGAAAACTTAACAACATATTTTTATTCACAGCATACGTCCACTGCAGTATACGCGTACTTCTAGAGGATACTTTTATATATCACGCTGAGTAGCTAGAGTGCAAAGTTCTAGACTCACTTTATACGTCCAACATTCCATGCACGTACTGTAAAACACAATTTGTTTTCGTCATTCTACTCGGAATAAGGAACCTCCGTTGACGTCATAACGTGCCATTCAAGTTAAATTCACATGAAATTACTTTTCAGTCCAGTCTCTAGACTATTCCCAAAATTATTACAAATCCATTCAACTGTAGCGATGCGAATACGGAGCGAGCCCAATTATAAACAAAATTAATATAATTTTATTCCAATTTACTGTCTATTGCTTAGGCTAGCCTCCGCAGTTATCACTGCACTAATATACGATACTAATAGTCAGACATCAGGAAACGTTTGCAAAAAGAATGTGGGAATCGAATCCACGTCCTCGGGATTCGCCAGACGTTTTAACAATTAAGTTTAACGGCTGATTTCCACACCGACTTAAATCTCAACGACTTTTATCTATATTGTTTTTTCGCATTTCAAGCAATGCTTGGCGCATCCATTTGCTGTATTCTTTGCAGCTTACAAACATTTTCGAATATCGTTTTACACCGATAATTCGAAAGACAAATTGAATTAATAAAAAAAAAGATAAAAATATTAAAAGTAGTAAAAGTAAAAAATATAAAAAAAAGATAAAAGTAGTTAAAAAAATTTACTGTAATAAAAGAATACACGTTTTCGTATTCTTTTCGGTAACATTGTGGTTACCGAAAAATAAGTGGTAACAATGGTTCGAACCATTTTCTAGTAAATCGTGTACGAAAGAGCTCTAGGCAATTAATAAACTTAACCGAACGGAAAAACACAACGCAAAGTAAAAAGTATAAAGCCATAAGTGAATAAGACGGTGCATTTTTTTGAACGCATGATTGCTAATGTTTGTTCGTCTGATGATAAGTACCATCGCCGCTGGTAAACGGCCCTTTTTGATGAATTGAAGATTAAATTATTAAAACATTTGTGACACATTATTAATTGCATAATTTGAAAGTTTTGTATACATTTAAAAGAATTTATATGGGAAAAACCCCTATCTAACAATAAAAACATCATACTAAACGGACAAGGAGGTGAACAATGAACACGGGCATACATAAAAATCCCGTATTTTAGAGAACGACTTCCTGTTTCGGAGTCGATTAAATAAACACACTAATTAAATTACTCCGCGACACGTCCACTCGCGGCAGTATCCGCGCAGTGTTGGTAAACGATAAACGGTGGTAATCGAAAACAATCTAAGCAGTTTCGTAACGGCTTGCCGGTGATAAAGAGCCTACGGTCTGGATCGACGCATCGCGGACGGCTCACGATTTACTGAATGGGTCGAGTGTGGTGGTGTTGTGAGTGGGCGAGGTCCGCTCCGCGGCTGAGCGGACGCCGGTAGCCGCTTCGCGTATGAGCCCTCGCTCTGCCGTAACGACGGCTGCACTTGAACCTTAACAGCGGCCGCACACGAACAGGAAAAGGTACGCGCCGCCCGCCGCACGTTAACGGATAAAACATGTGCCCGCCTCTCACGCGCCACCAGTGATTTCCGAAGCGTCGCCGTCCCGAGCCGGCGAACTGTCTCGTTGTGGATTCGGATGCGGTGATACTTGATCGATAGCTCATCCAAGCCCGAGCAATATACAGGTTTTTTTCGGAATCTCAGGGAACTAACGCGACAAAGTGAGTATTTTCGCCCCTTAATCGTAATATTCGCGGTGAAATATGATGAGGCTGATGAGCTGTATCAACACATGTCATAATGTGTTGATACAGCTCATATATTCCAGTGGGAAGATATTTATATTTTTTATTTTTTCGGGCAAAGCAAAATTCGATGCTTTTGTTTTCAATTAAATTTTAATTGCGTTATTCTATGTTTCATCGTTTGTGTATTACAAACTTGTTAATAATACAGTTAAAGTTAAAGTTAAATAAGTTGTATAAGAATATTCGACTGATAAATGTGGAATTAATATTTATATGGTCGTCTTAAACTATTCTAATTACCAGTCACATGCTGAAAACAAGGTACGTAGCTGATAATTGAAACGCCTTTTAACTTAAGAAATGAGGAAAATTACAAAAAATATTCCAATAAAAAATTTAACTGAAATGAAGAATAGTTTCATAATATTAAGTACAAAATTTTAAGAAGTTTCGAGTAGAAAAAAGACACGAGGAACGCATTTAAGCATAGAAATTTAGCATTCGTTTAGTTTTTTATTTTGAATCTTGGAGGTTACGAGGGGTGTCATGGAATTCATTAATATATACATAAACTAAACGCAGTGACTATGAAACTATATTAGAATTACTTAGAGTTCTTAATGGGATATTAACATTACTGGCCCTTGGAGTTCAACGTGCAATCCTAAATATAAATAAGTTTTATCCATATACTAAAACATATTTTCAGACTTTTTGAATTATCTAACAAATGCATGTGAAATTTTAAAATAACGTTAAGGCCCATTTACACGATGCCATTTTCTTGAACATACAAGAGCAATAATTGAATGCAATAAATTGCGCGCAATAATTGTTTAGACCATTTCTTGTTTAGACCATGCAACTCATTTATTGCTTCAATTTAATTGTATACAACAGGCAAGAAACTGCCACTGTGTAAATGGGCCTTAATACATCGAATTTACGATGGCTAACAAAGACGTAATAACGAAAAAATCGTAGCGTGACACGAAATATTCGATAATTTAAAATAAAACACCAAGGAGTATAGAAATGTAACGTATGTTCCGGAGTAAAAAACATTACTTTGAAAACTAACGATAGATCAGGATGTCAATCTACATGGTCACCGAATAGACCTACGTGACCGTGGTGCGTAAAAATTGCTAACAAATTTAAAAATTAAAACAGTGTGATGAATATGTAAAGTGGCTTTTTTCTATTACATTATACCAACTTAAAGCAAACAGCGAATGATTATTCAAATAACATGTTCAACGTTTGAAATTTCATAACCGAAGATTTTCAAAACTATTAAAAAACACAAAAAACTTAATATGACAAATAATGAATATACTTTGTTTTAAATAAATACCTCAAATAACTTATAATAGTAATGGTTAATGACTAATATGGTTCTTTGACTGTATAGACGGAGCTCGCTGTTTCTAGTACTAGATCAATAGTTTTATTTGAATTGGATATCATCGCTTCATTATAGAATCCAAATTGGTACAAGCGATTGCACCTTGAAAGTTTTTCCTGTCCCCACAACAGGAAATGAGTTGCATGGTCTAAACAACAAATGGTCATAACAATTATTGCGCGCAATTTATTGCATTCAATTATTGCTCTTGCATGTTCAAGAAAATGGCATCGTGTAAATGGGCCTTGAACAACCGCAACCCACTTTGCAAACCCACTTTTTAATACTAGCACCCGCCCCGGCTTCGCCCTTGTGCAAATCAGTTTTTACAGCCTAAGTGGCTTGATTCAATATACCCACTGACACATATAAATTATTTTCATATATCGACTAAAAAGATAAGAATACCATATTTATACTTCCACATAAATGACAAATTCAAAAAATTCACCTCCAATAATCTTTACGTTAAAAGTCATTCCAATAAATGCACTTTATAAATGTTGTCGTGTTTATAATTGCATTTTATCAGTCGCCGCATTTAAATGGTGAATCAAAATAACCCATTCACCTGAACCGTAAAGAGCATAAGAGTCAGGAACTAAAACTTCATCATTCGTTTTATGGCTAAACTTCTTTAATCTGAAAAAATATCTAAATCCATATGTATCTCGTTGAAATTCGGCAAACTAAAACAAATGATCATTAGAGAAATAACAGTTTCGATTGTTCAACGAAGGGGTAGGTTCGTCCGGGAAGTACCACTACTTGCGTTTTGTCTGGTGAGTAAGGTTGCCGGGGCCCACTTTTAAAGGTGGCAAGGCATATGCAATTCTACGGGTGTTTTTTTTAAATGTCCTTGGGTGGGGGTTACCATTTAACATGAGCAGAACCGCCAGCTTGCTTGCCACCATACGACATAAAAAAAGAGAAATTACGAATCCTACCCAATAATTCGACACAACATATAATTTTCTTCCACTTTCCTCTAACAGCCGTCCTCGCGTTTCTTCACACAGTCCATCCAAATGTTTTTTGGTCTTCCTCTAGATTTACTCGCTCCAACTACATTCATATTCATAACTCTTCTAGTTACACGTTTTTCATCCCTTCACATAAAGTGCCCATACTATGTCAACACTATCACACGATTAATTAACACGTTTATCATTAACACGATTCAAGAGGAAGGTGACTCCATGGCGCAGTCGTCAAGGTATTGGCTTCGGCGTCGGGGATCGTGGGTTCGATTCCCACTCGGGACAACTATTTGTGTGACCCACAGATGGTTGTTTCGCATCTGGGTGTTTGTCCGCGTGAAATTTATGTATGTAAAAACGTCCTTGCAACACAGGATACTGTTCCTAAAGTGGGGGCAATGTCTTTTTTAAAAATAGAAAAAAAAGTTTATATGTACAATACATTGCACCCGTGCGAAGTCGTGGCGGGTCGCAAGTTATAAATATATTAAGTTCAGATACCCTATAAGGTACGTCCGAAAGTCTTGGTGAAAATAACAAGAAAAAGGCTTTCCTTTTGTCAGTTTTTTGTATCATCTTGATGATATAAGAATATTTTTTTATTCGCAGATACCTGCGTATAAAATACGCATACGAAGGAATCTTTGCTGTATCCGCCGGATACGAGAACATTCGTAGCAATTACACGTTCTAGGCACAAGCCTAGATTTATTGTCAGTGTTCGTTCACAAGAGCGAATACATGTTCTTTCACGTGGCAAGTGATCGCGCATGTTTCTTCTTCCTAAGTGGAGTATTCTCATGCTAACTTACGAAACACAACTTGGAGTTAAGTGGATCCCATAAAGCACTAAGAACAGGCAATATATACAGTATATGGCAGTATACTCTTTGTTTGTTCTTTTTAAAAATGTATGCATCAATTGTTCCTGATTCGTTCTTTAGATCTAGTAACAATGTACCTCTAACCGGTTTTTCTTTGGGCTTAATTATAGCTTCTACTTTATAGTCATTGCTCGGACAGTGAAACCGAGAAGAACCCACAGTGGACCGGCCTATAACGTAAGGCCGCTCAACGCTGACTCAAACCAGAAGACGTGGGCTCGATTCACACAGCCGCGAAAAACTTTTCGTAGTTTTTTCTACAAATTTTAATGTTTCATCAGTGCAAAGATAAGCACTACAAATTTTTTATTTAAAAATTGGTTTCCAATGGAAAATGACCAAAAAGACCGTCCCAAAGGAGGCATGGAAATCGATGTTCTAGTTTTCACTATCCTAAAAATTAATACACATTGATCACGTTAAAGACCTTAGGGACTGCTGCCCTATTTTCAATTTTATTTTCTTTTCGGACTTTTGAAGCGTGATCAACAAATTCTTTCAAACAAAGGACACCTCTCACATTCAACGAAACAATAAATTAAGGTGGCTGCTAGGAATTTAGTCGCATGTCACGGTGAAAGGGTTTCCCTTGAACTTTCAGACTCATCGTGGATTAGAGGCATAGGGTGGATAGGTGTGTTTTCAGAGGCTATGTTTTGTCCCAACAAGTTTATCTGCAATAACTCAAAGAGGCTTTATATAATCATTATCCTTGGGTTAGTGGCGTTATTGTTGTAACTCTGGTGGCCGTTTTTGCCTTCCGTAGACGACAACACAACTAGAGGGACAGTTTGCCAACCTTTTTTTGTAATGTCAAATAATCATTCATCAGTATTATTATACTTATTTGTTTATTAATTATAAGTTATAATTTATAAAAAAAATGTACTTATGTACACGCGTTAGAAGTTATACTTCTTTGGCGTAACAATATAAAAATCTCTTTAAAATTTTTTATCTTTCGCCTTATTCTACATATCTAATAAAATATTTTGTTTTTAAAAATTCAATCAAAATGCTCAATTTTGGCAATATTATGCCGTGACTGGTTTTTAAAAATTTTTCTTAATAAATAAACGGATGTGCCAATAACAGATTAGATACCAAATTTTAGACAAGTTCACTAGGGCCTGGGTACCTAGTAGTGCTTGCATATTCACAACGAATGGCTTTCACATTGGCTTAATTCATATATAAAAGTCAGACGTCCGGACTTTAAGTTATTTTTTTATTCAACTTCTACGATATAAACTCATTAAAAATAAAACTAAAATTGTAAGAACAAATTAAAAACAACCACAATTTCAACAATATGTCCATCGTTTGGGCAAAACCTACCTCGTTATTTATAGACCGTTAGGGCCATAGTCCGCCACGCGACCTTTAAGTTTTATTTTATGAATTTAAAGATGTTGGTTGGTGAGTCAGCGTTTAAAATAAAGCAATTTAAATTTATTTTATTTTATTGGTTCCTCGGAATCTTGGATGAACTAAGTTTACAAGCATAGAGAATTTAACGAAGACTCCGTGGCGTAGTCGCCAAGGTATCGGCTTCGGCGTCGTGGGTCGTGGGTTCGATTCCCACACGGGAAACTATTTGTGTGACCCACAGATGGTTGTTTCGCATCTGGGTGTTTGTTCGCG